TTTTATTCACATTTTGGGGAATTCCTGACAATTTCATTAGAATTTAAAAACCACCCTAATGTCAAAATTTTAACTCCAACCAAAAAAATATACCATGTACTTGTATGTATTTATGTTTTATAAACTCATAAATAAGAGTTCCTAAACGCATAAATGGTTTCATTCATGGAGAAATGAAATCAAATAATACATACTTTAACAAATATTGCTCATACGCTCCATGGTTCCGTTTTTTCAATGTTTGTGTATATATAACACATACACACACAGCAGGAATCTATATTATGATTTTCTTTTGTTCCCTAGGAAATGAAAACGGATATGTGTTTATATGTATGTACAACACGAGTTTAATAAACACAAATTCAAACATATAAAACAGATAGCTTAAAATACAAATGAGCTAACACCAGTTTTGACAAAAAATATATAAAATTTAAAATTGCATAGAAAAGACGTTAAGTTCCAAAAAAAGAGGCAACTAAAATTTTAGTTTTCTCCAAAATTTTTAAAAAACATACTTAGTACATTTTACATCTAAGCTTACATTAAATACATATGTATGCTTATATAAAAATATTTTCCCCGTCATAAACATAAAAGCCTAAATAACTTCTAGGCAGTTTTTTTTATGATGCTTTTTTTTTAATAAAATTTTGATTTTATATGATTTCTACTTGTTTTCTTTTAATTTTATTTCATGTTTTCCATGGTTATTTTGTAGATGAAATTCCTTTCAGTTCGTCTTCCTTATTAAATTGCCATTAGAGAAAGTTTCAAACCTTCCCCAATATTTTTCTTTGCATAACAACCTACGCATTACATTTATTTTTTAGGGATATTATAGATTTATCCTGTTGCTTGGGAATTTTTTTATTGAAAATTTTGCTGTAAATATTTGAGTCTAATGTTCCCTTGCTAAAATTTAAAGAAACAGATAATAAGTGGTTGTAATAAAAGCAGAAAATACTTTTAATGTTTTATAGATTATAAATCAGTATGAAAGGTATATTTTTGAGGTTATTTTTTGAAAAATTATGCCCTATAGATCCATAAATGATAAATATTAATACTTATATATGTACTTCTAGAATACAAGTTTTTCACGGTCCCTAGTAGTCAACATAAATTAGGGGGAAAAATCAGTAATATCTACAGGATTAATGTACGTTCACACCTATCGAATATTTGACAGTGTTGCCAACTATTTAGAATAGACTATAGGCTAGACTATAGACTAGATTATGGACTAGACTATAGACTAGACTATAGACTAGACAATAGACTAGACTATAGACTGGACTATAGACCATACCAATAGACTACACTGTAGACTATACTATAGACTAGACTATAGACTAGACTATAGACTAGACTATAGGCTAGACTATAGACTAGACTATAGAGTAGACTATGGACTAGACCATAGACTAGACTATAGACTAGACTATAGAATAGACTATAGACTAGACTAGGCTAGACTATAGACTAGACTATAAACTAGAGTATAGACTAGACTATAGACTAGACTATAGACTAGACTATAGGACTAGACTATAGACTAGACTATAGACTAGACTATAGACTAGACTATAGACTAGACTATAGACTAGACTATAGACTAGACTATAGACTAGACTATAGACTAGACTATAGACTAGACTATAGACTCGACTATAGACTAGACTATAGATTGGACTATAGACTAGACTATAGACTAGACTATAGACTAGACTATAGACTCGACTATAGACTAGACTATAGACTAGACTATAGACTAGACTATAGACTAGACTATAGACTAGACTATAGACTAGACTTAGACTAGACTATAGACTAGACTAGACTATAGACTAGACTATAGACTAACTATAGACTAGACTATAGACTAGACTATAGGACTAGACTATAGACTAGATATAGACTAGACTATGACTAGACTATAGACTAGACTATAGACTAGACTATAGACTAGACTATAGACTAGACTATAGACTAGACTATAGACTAGACTATAGACTAGACTATAGACTAGACTATAGACTAGACTATAGACTAGACTATAGACTAGACTATAGACTAGACTATAGACTAGACTATAGACTAGACTATAGACTAGACTATAGACTAGACTATAGACTAGACTATAGACTAGACTATAGACTAGACTATAGACTAGACTATAGACTAGACTATAGACTAGACTATAGACTAGACTATAGACTAGACTATAGACTAGACTATAGACTAGACTATAGACTAGACTATAGACTAGACTATAGACTAGACTATAGACTAGACTATAGACTAGACTATAGACTAGACTATAGACTAGACTATAGACTAGACTATAGACTAGACTATAGACTAGACTATAGACTATACTATAGACTAGACTATATACTAGACTATAGACTAGACTATAGACTAGACTATAGACTAGACTATAGACTAGACTATAGACTAGACTATGGACTAGACTATAGACTAGACTATAGACTAGCCTATAGACTAGACTATAGACTAGACTATAGACTAGACTATAGACTAGACTATAGACTAGACTATAGACTAGACTATAGACTAGACTATAGACTAGACTATAGACTAGACTATAGACTAGACTATAGACTAGACTATAGACTAGACTATAGACTAGACTGTAGACTAGACTATATATAGACTAGACTATATATAGACTAGACTATATATAGACTAGACTATAGACTAGACTATAGACTAGACTATAGACTAGACTATAGACTAGACTATAGACTAGACTATAGACTAGACTATAGACTAGACTATATATAGACTAGACTATAGACTAGACTATAGACTAGACTATAGACTAGACTATAGACTAGACTATAGACTAGACTATAGACTAGACTATAGACTAGACTATAGACTAGACTATAGACTAGACTATAGACTAGACTATAGACTAGACTATAGACTAGACTATAGACTAGACTATAGACTAGACTATAGACTAGACTATAGACTAGACTATAGACTAGACTATAGACTAGACTATAGACTAGACTATAGACTAGACTATAGACTAGACTATAGACTAGACTAGACTAGACTATAGACTAGACTATAGACTAGACTATAGACTAGACTATAGACTAGACTATAGACTAGACTATAGACTAGACTATAGACTAGACTATAGACTAGACTATAGACTAGACTATAGACTAGACTATAGACTAGACTATAGACTAGACTATAGACTAGACTATAGACTAGACTATAGACTAGACTATAGACTAGACTATAGACTATAGACTACAGATATATAGACTAGACTATAGACTAGACTATAGACTAGACTATAGACTAGACTATAGACTAGACTATAGACTAGACTATAGACTAGACTATAGACTAGACTATAGACTAGACTATAGACTAGACTATAGACTAGACTATAGACTAGACTATAGACTAGACTATAGACTAGACTATAGACTAGACTATAGACTAGACTATAGACTAGACTATAGACTAGACTATAGACTAGATATAGACTAGACTATAGACTAGACTATAGACTAGACTATAGACTAGACTATAGACTAGACTATAGACTAGACTATAGACTAGACACTATAGACTAGGCTATAGACTAGACTATAGACTAGGCTATAGACTAGACTATAGACTAGATATAGACTAGACTATAGACTAGACTATAGACTAGACTATAGACTAGACTATAGACTAGACTATAGAACTAGACTATAGACTAGACTATAGACTAGACTATAGACTAGACTATAGACTAGACTATAGACTAGACTATAGAATAGACTATAGACTAGACTGCAGAATAGACTATAGACTAGACTATAGACTAGACTATAGACTAGACTATAGACTAGACTATAGACTAGACTATAGACTAGACTATAGACTAGACTATAGACTAGACTATAGACTAGACTATAGATAGACTATGGACTAGATTAAGACAATACTATAGACAAGACTATAGACTAGACTATAGATTAGACTATATATTAGGCTATAGATTAGACTATGGACTAGATTAAGACAATACTATAGACAAGACTATAGACTATACACTAAACTATAAGCTAGACTTTGTTATTAAAAATGTATCACTCTCTAAAAATCTAAAGAATTCGGTCTATAATTGCCCCAAGACCCCATAAAGGTCCACTTTTAACCTAATTCACATTAATATTGATATATGATTGAGTTTTTTTTATAATATTTTTTAAACTTTTGATTTCATGCCTCAGTTACCCAATTTTTGTACTCATAATTGGTTTCCTTCATTACCCCTTAAAAATATAGGTCAATGAATTAAAATTTTAAAAACATAAAATGTTTCCCTTTCCCAAAAAGAATTTCATTCAAGTAAAATAAACAATTTTATAATTTCAACACTTTATTCCCTGTTATTCCATCTAAAAGTACTATAAAAAAGTTATAGGAAAAATTAAAAACTTCAAAGCCTAAATTGACACACAATCATGGGAAAATAATTTTTTGTATATTTAGGTCATTTTCATTTTATATGCTGCTGATGTTATCCTGATTTATATCCTTATAAATAAATTAAGGGTATTGGGTAGTATGGCATGTTTCTTTCTTCTTTCTCTCTACCACAAAAAAAAAATTAAGTTCATTGAACTCGTTTATTCAACCATAAACCTTGAAATGAAAACAATTTCTATGTGTTCGTTTGAGTTAATATTTTATTCCTTTTCATAGACAATAAATAATACAGAAAGCTTTTTAACAAGAAAATACCTAATAAAAAGCTTTAGACTTATAAAACCTCCGCCCTCTAGTATTATCCTTTCAATCATTTCTAGCTTAATAACACCTATATTTTTAGACAGGTGTCATTTTATCCCATGAATCTATTCAACAGAAAAAAATTTAATGTAAAAACCTTAAAATTTTATATAAAGCTAAATTTAAAATTAATTTTCTTTCTCTTAATTTCTTTACAGTAATCATAACTTTATAAATTGGAAACAAACATGAACTGGTTTTATATATCAATAGCCAGTTAAAGAATATATTCGAACCGTCCACAACATTACCTGCAAAAACCAGCAAAAGACGTAACATTTACCACCAGTACCTGGTGCTTTTTAAAAGAAACCCCTGAAAAAAATCCCCTACATACACATCACTAAATTATAATAAACATATTTTTTGTAGAAAATATGCTACAAAAGGATTTAAATTTTTTAAAAATTTATATACAATACAATTAAATTAAAATAATAACAGGAACTAAAATTGTTAAAAAAGTTATACCACTTAAAAGTGGTATTGAAACCAAACAAGAAAGCATTTTTGTGCATGCTTTAAAATCTACGGAAAATTTTAAATAGTTTTATTTAAAATTATATTTTCCTTATATATTCGAAGAGATTAATTAGAAAAGATTGCTTGACATAAGTGAAAAGAACGTTGAACGTTAAATATTGCCAAGATGGGTCGGAAGAAAATTCAAATATCACGCATCACAGATGAACGTAATCGACAGGTAAGTTATAAAGTTTTTAGATGCTTTTATAGATTTTAGTTTAAGGGACCGAATTATCGAATCCTTCATCAAGTCAATTTGATTTTTAATTTCCTATATCATAGACTAGACTACAGAGTACACTATAGACTAGACTATAGACTCGAATACAGACTAAAATATAGATTTGACTAAAGACTAGACTATAGGCTAGGCTATAGACTAGACTATAGAGTAGACTATAGACTAGACTATAGACTAGACTATAGACTAGACTATAGACTAGACTATAGACTAGATTATAGACTAGACTATAGACTAAACTATAGACAAGACTATAGACTAGACTATAGACTAGACTAGACTAGACTATAGACTAGACTAGACTATAGACTAGACTAGACTATAGACCAGACTAGACTATAGACTAGACTATAGACCAGACTAGACTAGACTAGACTATAGACTAGACTATAGACTAGACTATAGACTAGACTATAGACTAGACTATAGACTAGACTATAGACTAGACTATAGACTAGACTATAGACTAGACTATAGACTAGACTATAGACTAGACTATAGACTAGACTATAGACTAGACTATAGACTAGACTATAGACTACACTATAGACTAGACTATAGACTAGACTATAGACTAGACTATAGACTACACTATAGACTAGACTATAGACTAGACTATAGACTAGACTATAGACTAGACTATAGACTGACTATAGACTAGACTATAGACTAGACTATAGACTAGACTATAGACTAGACTATAGACTAGACTATAGACTAGACTATAGACTAGACTATAGACTAGACTATAGACTAGACTATAGACTAGACTATAGACTAGACTATAGACTAGACTATAGACTAGACTATAGACTAGACTATAGACTAGACTATAGACTAGACTATAGACTAGACTATAGACTAGACTATAGACTAGACTATAGACTAGACTATAGACTAGACTATAGACTAGACTATAGACTAGACTATAGACTAGACTATAGACTAGACTATAGACTAGACTATAGACTAGACTATAGACTAGACTATAGACTAGACTATAGACTAGACTATAGACTAGACTATAGACTAGACTATAGACTAGACTATAGACTAGACTATAGAGACTAGACTATAGAACTAGACTATAGACTAGACTATAGACTAGACTATAGACTAGACTATAGATAGACTATAGACTAGACTAGAAGAGACGAGAGAAGAGAGAGAGACGAGAGACGAAGAGACAGAGAGAGACGAGAAAGACGAGAGACAGACGAGAGACGAGAAGAAGAGAGAGAAGAGAGAGAGAGAGGAGACGAGAGACGAGACGAGGACGAGACGAGAGACGAGACGAGAGAGAGAGACGAGACGAGCGACGAGAGCGGCGAGAGACGAGAGAGACGAGAGACGAGAGAGAGAGAGAGAGACGAGACGAGAGAGACGAGACGAGAGCGAGAGAGAGACGAGACGAGGGGAGCGAGCGAGCGAGCGAGAGAGCGAGCGAGCGAGCGAGCGAGCGAGCGAAGCGAGCGAGCGAGCGAGCGAGCGAGCGAGCGAGAGAGCGAGCGAGCGAGCGAGCGAGCGAGGAGCGAGCGAGAGAGGAGCGAGCGAGCGAGCGAGCGAGCGAGCGCGAGCGAGCGAGAGAGCGAGCGAGCGAGCGAGCGAGCGACCGAGAGCGAGCGAGCGAGCGAGCGAGCGAGCGAGCGAGCGAGCGAGCGAGCGAGCGAGCGAGCGAGCGAGCGAGCGAGAGCGAGCGAGCGAGGACGAGCGAGCGAGCGAGCGAGCGAGCGGCGAGCGAGCGAGCGAGCGACGAGCGAGCGAGCTAGCGAGCGAGCGAGCGAGCGAGCGAAGCGAGAGATCTATCGAGAGCTATCGAGCGAGATCGAGCGAGCGAGCGATCGCTAGACTAGCTATCGAGCGAGCGAAGCTAGCGATCGAGATCGATCTATCTATCTATCTAGCTATCTATCATCTATCTATCTATCTATCTATTATCTATTATCTATCTATTATCTATATCTATCTATATCTATAGCTATCTATATATATCTATATATCTATCTATCTATTATCTATCTATATCTATCTATCATCTATCATCATTATCATCTATGTTACAAATCCGCTAATCAGTCCCTAGTTTCCCAAATATATTCGTTGCTGCTTAATAGTTTCGAATTATACCTTTTTAAGGACTACATTCCTACACACATATCAGCAATGTCATGTTAAGAAATTATTGCTCCTTTGCAAATGACTTTGACAAACAAAATACACAAGCATATGTAGGAAAAAAGTATTGATTAGCCACTTAAGTTCTTTTCGTAGTCGTCATATACACTTGTCCATAATAGATATTTAAGTAATTATTAAAAAACACACACACTTTAATCTTTTCTTCTTAACCTTTTGCATTTTACAGGTGACATTCAATAAACGTAAATTTGGTGTTATGAAAAAGGCCTACGAATTGTCGGTATTATGTGACTGTGAAATAGCCCTAATCATCTTTTCGTCCAGTAATAAATTATATCAATATGCCAGTACCGATATGGATAAAGTTTTACTCAAATATACAGAATATAATGAACCCCACGAATCATTAACTAATAAAAATATTATAGAGGTAAGTTGTTCGACATATCGATATTAAAAATAGATACATGTGTACATAGAAATGTACATATATGTACATACATACATACATATGTATGTACATAAGTCTATTATTTACCAACTAGTAAATAGATTATTATTTATTTATATTTTCATTTTCTGTTTCATTTGTGTTATTATTATTATTTTTTCATTTAATAATAAATTATTCAAATATTTATTGTACATATTAGTGGAAAATACAGACAAATAATATGAAAAAATAACAAAAGAACGGGAGAGATAAAGTAAGAAACTTGAGAAAAAATTATGCAAAATTAATTGAGTAAAAATAAGATAAAGTGAGGAAAAAAAAATAGAAAATAAAATTTAATAAATTTTTAAAAATATTATGTATATACAAAATATATATAAATATCTATGTATATATATTTACTTTTTTTCTTTAAGAGATCTTAATACGATAAACACACTTCCTAATAACATTATTAACGTCATTTGTTAGGCACCGTGGTACAGATTAAGTCAGAAAATAAACAAAATTTTAGGTTATATTTTTGTGTTGAACAAAATTTCCAATTTTTGTTAAGAATCAGTTTCAGTTATTTTGGGGTTTTTAAAAATTTCTTCTTTTATTCCAAAAACAATCCAAGGGAATTTATTCTAATTTCCCAAATTTTGTAATTCCGTTTGTATTTCATCGTATATATTCTGGGTCCGTATTAGAATCTAAGTTTATCTAGCCTTATCTGTCCATTACAACTCTATTTGTGTTTAAATTTCTTGGTTTTAACCACTGTGCCAAACATATTTCTATGGTATCTTCTAAACACTAATGTAAATGTCTTGTTGAATAATTATAAAGTGTGTTTTTTCTTCCTTAACTGTTTTGTTAAAAAACATTTTTGTTTTTGCTCCAACATTATTATTGTTTACAACGAACTTGAACTTGTGTGTTTGAAGAAATTTCATCTAGAGATAGTAGAGATCAGACATGGAAAATTCAGTACTATAGTACTTCTTTAAGTCGTAAAATGCCGTGGAACTTCCACAACATTTTCGGTACTTTTTATAACTATAGTCTACAATCTAGTCTATAGTCTAGTCTATAGTCTAGTCTATAGTCTAGTCTATAGTCTAGTCTATAGTCTAGTCTATAGTCTAGTCTATAGTCTAGTCTATAGTCTAGTCTATAGTCTAGTCTATAGTCTAGTCTATAGTCGAGTCTATAGTCCAGTCTATAGTCCAGTCTATAGTCTAGTCTATAGTCTAGTCTATAGTCTAGTCTATAGTCGAGTCTATAGTCCAGTCTATAGTCTAGTCTATAGTCGAGTCTATAGTCTAGTCTATAGTCTAGTCTATAGTCTAGTCTATAGTCTAGTCTATAGTCTAGTCTATAGTCTAGTCTATAGTCTAGTCTATAGTCTAGTCTATAGTCTAGTCTATAGTCTAGTCTATAGTCTAGTCTATAGTCTAGTCTATAGTCTAGTCTATAGTCTAGTCTATAGTCTAGTCTATAGTCTAGTCTATAGTCTAGTCTATAGTCTAGTCTATAGTCTAGTCTATAGTCTAGTCTATAGTCTAGTCTATAGTCTAGTCTATAGTCTAGTCTATAGTCTAGTCTATAGTCTAGTCTATAGTATAGTCTATAGTCTAGTCTATAGTCTAGTCTATAGTCTAGTCTATAGTCTAGTCTATAGTCTAGTCTATAGTCTAGTCTATAGTCTAGTCTATAGTCTAGTCTATAGTCTAGTCTATAGTCTAGTCTATAGTCTAGTCTATAGTCTAGTCTATAGTCTAGTCTATAGTCTAGTCTATAGTCTAGTCTATAGTCTAGTCTATAGTCTAGTCTATAGTCTAGTCTATAGTCTAGTCTATAGTCTAGTCTATAGTCTAGTCTATAGTCTAGTCTATAGTCTAGTCTATAGTCTAGTCTATAGTCTAGTCTATAGTCTAGTCTATAGTCTAGTCTATAGTCTAGTCTATAGTCTAGTCTATAGTCTAGTCTATAGTCTAGTCTATAGTCTAGTCTATAGTCTAGTCTATAGTCTAGTCTATAGTCTAGTCTATAGTCTAGTCTATAGTCTAGTCTATAGTCTAGTCTATAGTCTAGTCTATAGTCTAGTCTATAGTCTAGTCTATAGTCTAGTCTATAGTCTAGTCTATAGTCTAGTCTATAGTCTAGTCTATAGTCTAGTCTATAGTCTAGTCTATAGTCTAGTCTATATCTAGTCTAAGTCTAGTCTATAGTCTAGTCTAGTCTATAGTCTAGTCTATAGTCTAGTATAGTCTAGTCTAGTCTAGTCTAGTCTAGTCTAGTCTAGTCTAGTCTAGTCTAGTCTAGTCTAGTCTATAGTCTAGTCTAGTCTATAGTCTAGTCTATAGTCTAGTCTATAGTCTAGTCTATAGTATAGTCTATAGTCTAGTCTATAGTATAGTCTATAGTCTAGTCTATAGTCTAGGCTATAGTCTAGTCTATAGTCTAGTCTATAGTCTAGTCTATAGTCTAGTCTATAGTCTAGTCTATAGTCTAGTCTATAGTCTAGTCTATGGTCTAGTCTATAGTCTAGTCTATAGTCTAGTCTATAGTCTAGTCTATAGTCTAGTCTATAGTCTAGTCTATAGTCTAGTCTATAGTCTAGTCTATAGTCTAGTCTATAGTCTAGTCTATAGTCTAGTCTATAGTCTAGTCTATAGTCTAGTCTATAGTCTAGTCTATAGTCTAGTCTATAGTCTAGTCTATAGTCTAGTCTATAGTCTAGTCTATAGTCTAGTCTATAGTCTAGACTATAGTCTAGTGTATAGTTAAGACTATAGTCTAGTGTATAGTCTAGTCTATAGCCTAGTGTATAGTCTAGTCTATAGTCTATAGTCGTGTCTATAGTATAGTCTATAGTCTAGTCTATAATTTAGTCTTTAGTATAGATCATAGTCTAGTCTATAGTCTAGTCTATATTCTAGTCTATAGTCTAGTCTATAATTTAGTCTATAGTCTAGTCTATAGTCTAGTCTATAGTCTAGTCTATAGTTTAGTATATAGTGTAGTCTATATGCTAGTCTATAGTTTAGTCTATAGTTTAGTCTATAGTCTATTCTATAGTCTAGTCTATAGTCTAGTCTATAGTCTAGTCTATAGTCTAGTCTATAGTCTAGTCTATAGTCTAGTCTATAGTCTAGTCTATAGTCTAGTCTATAGTCTAGTCTATAGTCTAGTCTATAGTCTAGTCTATAGTCTAGTCTATAGTCTAGTCTATAGTCTAGTCTATAGTCTAGTCTAGTCTATAGTCTAGTCTATAGTCTAGTCTATAGTCTAGTCTATAGTCTAGTCTATAGTCTAGTCTATAGTCTGGTCTATAGTCTAGTCTATAGTCTAGTCTATAGTCTAGTCTATAGTCTAGTCTATAGTCTAGTCTATAGTCTAGTCTATAGTCTAGTCTATAGTCTAGTCTCTAGTCTAGTCTCTAGTCTAGTCTATAGTCTAGACTATAGTCTAGACTATAGTCTAGTCTATAGTCTAGTCTATAGTCTAGTCTATAGTCTAGTCTATAGTCTAGTCTATAGTCTAGTCTATTGTCTAGTCTATAGTCTAGTATATAGTCTAGTATATAGTCTAGTCTATAGTCTAGTCTATTGTCTAGTCTATAGTCTAGTCTATAGTCTAGTCTATAGTCTAGTCTATAGTCTAGTCTATAGTCTAGTCTATAGTCTAGTCTATAGTCTAGTATATAGTCTAGTCTATAGTCTAGTCTATAGTCTAGTCTATTGTCTAGTCTATAGTCTAGTCTATAGTCTAGTCTATAGTCTAGTCTATAGTCTAGTCTAGTCTATAGTCTAGTCTATAGTCTAGTCTATAGTCTAGTCTATAGTCTAGTCTATAGTCTAGTCTATAGTCTAGTCTATAGTCTAGTCTATAGTCTAGTCTATAGTCTAGTCTATAGTCTAGTCTATAGTCTAGTCTATAGTCTAGTCTATAGTCTAGTCTATAGTCTAGTCTATAGTCTAGTCTATAGTCTAGTCTATAGTCTAGTCTATAGTCTAGTCTATAGTCTAGTCTATAGTCTAGTCTATAGTCTAGTCTATAGTCTAGGCTATAGTCTAGTCTATAGTCTAGTCTATAGTCTAGTCTATAGTCTAGTCTATAGTCTAGTCTATAGTCTAGTCTATAGTCTAGTCTATAGTCTAGTCTATAGTCTAGTCTATAGTCTAGTCTATAGTCTAGTCTATAGTCTAGTCTATAGTCTAGTCTATAGTCTAGTCTATAGTCTAGTCTATAGTCTATAGTCTGGTCTCTAGTCTATAGTCTGGTCTCTAGTCTATATGTTTGTTATAAGTTAGTTTTCCATGCCTGGTAGAGATTATTCAACTTCTAAGTTTAGTACATTTTTCGTTCATTATTTATTTATCATGTTAATTTTTTACTATATATTTATGTAAAATGTTAAAGCTAAGGTTGTAGGAAATCCCCCCATTGGATAAAATAAGATTGCATGATTTTTCGTAAGTGTGTGTAAAAGAAACAAGTAATATAATAGAACTAATGTAGTTTGACAGTTTTGACAAGCTTCTTATTATTTTCGGGTTTGCGTTATTACCAACTCTCCCTGTCATTTGTGTTAATAATCATCATCATCATTATAGACCGACGAAAAAAATATATATGTATAACTTTTTATTATTTATTGTATTGATGTTTCTTATGTAATATTTCCTAAATACGAATTACTTTGAAGCAAACAATAAATTGTAGAAAAAAGAAATTTAATTTAAACATTTTTCTTTTTTTGTTAAATTATAGATTTTATCTTGTCCATTCAGAAGGAAAACAAAAATGGTGTCATGTCACCCGACTCACCCGAACCAGAAGCCGATTATACACTAACGCCCCGTACCGAAGCCAAATACAATAAGATCGATGAAGAATTTCAATTGATGATGCATCGTACACAGATGGCCGGTGGTTGCAACATCAGCCCGTAATATGACAAATGCCAATTATACGTTGCCAGTATCGGTGCCAGTAGCGGGTGCCTACGGTGATAATATGCTACAGACGAGTCCACAAATGTCCCACACAAATATTAGTCCACGACCATCGAGTTCGGAAACGGATTCAGGTGGGATGTCATTGATAAGTTAGTAGTGTTGAAACACGCACACAGCACATTCTTATTACATTTTATTTGTTTCGTTTATTTGTTATGTTTGTATTCGTTTTTTGTTGTTGTTTTCCCTTTTTTAAGTTTTTTCGTTCATTGTTTTTTTATTATTTCTTCATATTAATCTACATTCGTTTTTATTTTATTTAAATCCTAATTTTATGTACTAACATTAACTAAATATTATTTATAGCTTTTTCGAGAGATTTATAAGGGATCGAAATCTTAATATTTCTCTACTCTAATATTTATATTTTCACTATCAAATAAGGAATTCAGAAAGTCATTGTAAAGTAATTTTTAAGAAACAACTTTTTTATATTTGTGTAGTTTGGCAACCCTGGTATTATGAGCATTAATATACTGAACTATTTCCTTACTTATAACATTCCAAAAATCAGGTTTAAGTTTTTTAAAAGCAAAATATATATTTTGCGGTCTGGCAACCCTGGTATTATAAATTTTTATATACTACATCATTTTCTTTACGAAATGTTTGTAATTTTTCGTAACCAATTCAACAGTAATTTCATAGTGTTATTTTAATTACATTAGTCTTATATGTGTAGTATGGCAACCCTGGAAATTAAAATTTTATAAGTGTTCCACTATTCCTCTACCATAGGGTCAAAGATTTTTTCCCAATAATTTCAGAGGGTTTAGTGATGTTTTAATCCATATAATATATTGCTTAATATGACTTACTACATGGCAACCATGGAAGATAGTTTGTTATAGACTACAATGTTTCCTTGATCACCTGATCAAAATTAAGGTCCTATTGATCCCAAATCTTTTCAAATGTTTAAGTTGAAAAACATTTTACAAAAAAAATTTTATCTAACAACCTTAATTTGACGTATACCTAACACCTGGCAACCCTGTCAATATAAATTTTTATATAATCGATTAATTTATATAGCAAGTGTTCAATATTGTATTTCCCAGTTGGTCTAATTTGAAAATATTTTAAAGAAATATTATTTAATAGCATATATATAAATGGTGGGATTTGGCAACCTGGAATTTAAATTTTATTAACTTTTATATTTTCCTGCCATAAAGTCTAAGTTTCTTTGTAATCAGGTCTTCATTAGTTTGGAAAATATTTAAATTCAATGGAAATCTTCTAAATCTTCTAAATGTACGCAATACCTGGCAACCCTGGAAATTATATTTTATATGCTTCCATTGTTCCCTATCAAATGGACAAAGTTTTCTTCATATCGCTTAAAAAGATTTTGAAATATTAAAATGCCAAGAAATATTTTCATTTTTAGCACATAAAAACTACACATGGCAACTCTGGAAATATAAATTTTTATCCTATTCGCCTTATATCCCTATTTCGCCTTTATCCCCTATTTCGCCTATCACATGGTCTAATCAAAATCGGTCTTGTAATTTCCTAGATATTTAAACTTTAAGGAATCTAAATTTTCTGAATTTCCATGACATGGTAACCCAAGAGAAACATAGTGGGCAGCACCATCTTTTGGAAGACAGATTTCTTAGTTACGTTATGATGCGCGAATCTGCTAGTCTGGTTTTTCAGACAAATCCCTCAACTGGCCAATTCAGGGGACAGACTGCTTACACAGGTTTTCGTAACTCAAAACGAATCAGCTGATCACTACGAACGTAACGTAGAAACTAACTTAGCCTTTACACAGGTTGCCGTACGATAAAAACGAATCTTGTTATACTCTACGTAACGAAACGTAGTAACTAACTGCCAATGTCAATTGAGTTTATTTAAGGATAGTTAATTTAAAATGTTGTAACTTTGTTATTTCTGCAACCGATTTAACCAAATAAATGTCATTCAAAAGCTAAGAAATTATGCCGGATCGTTAACATTATCCAAATTTACAGAAAATTTATTTATAAAAAGTATTAATAAAGTTTTAATTATGACCACATTTTTCCCGTATATCCTATTACTTATTTTTTATTTTTTCTTTTATAAATTTTTCTCTATCTCCCTCCCTCCCTTACTACACCTTTGCATGATTGTCGTGATTTTTAGTATTTTGTTTAAATATTTTTATAAATTTTACGTTATTAATTTGAATTTTTTTATATATTTTTCTCTTTTTTTTACAAAACTTTACGAAAATACAACTATCATCAAATTAATTAAAAATCTTTCGTTAAAACAACATCTACATGAAACAACACAACTACATCAAACTTCATCTTCATCATTATTACGTTCCTAAAATCATTATTGTTCTTCACTACTACTACAACAACAACTACAATTATTTATATCATTAACTAGTATATACAAAACAACAAAATACATACAAAATTACATTGGCCATATTATATATATATATACAAATTATATAGTTTATCCATCTGGTTCAATGTTGGAGATGTCCAATGGTTATCCTCATTCACATTCGCCGCTTGTTGGTTCTCCCAGTCCGGGTCCAAGTCCTGGTATAGGTGGGCGTTTAATTTTACATTAAAAAACAAAACTACATTTAATAATAATAATAATAACTAATTTCTTTAATTGAATCAAAAAAGAAATCATTTTAATTAAAAAATTATTTAATTAATATAAAAATTTAGCAGTAGTTAATAACATTAATTAAAATTTAGCATGTTTTAACAAAAAAGCTTTTAAAATAATTACTTAATCATACTATATTAGCAATCATAACATCATTCTCTTATTTAAACCTATTCTGAATAAAACTTCCCAGGAAATGTTATCATGTTTTATATACAAAATTAGGGAAATTGTTATTCGGAATAGAGTTAGAGATTCTTTAGGATTCGAATCTGACTTTCTTCTTACAAAATATTTAGCATTGATGTTCATATTGCCAATTCTTGAATTACGATTAGTTTAAATTAAAGATTATTCGACTACTTATGCGATAATTCGGCCCTAGATCCAAAATATACATCTAAGCAGTAGTCGGGCCTGTTGTGTGTTCCTTTTAATGGAAAATGTTGGTAGAAAAAACTTATATAGCGATCTATGAAAGGAATTATTTTCCAATATTCAGAAAGTTTTTTTCGTGGACGCAGTCCCTTAGAATAAGAATCATTATTCCTATTGGGATGTAATATTTGGTCTAATATTGTTCCCAAGAATGTTTTTTAATTCATTTCTCCAATTATTCATTCTGAGGAGGCTTCTCGTCCTGCTATCTTTGGGATCACCTAATAGCGTTTTAGTGGTTTTTACCACCGTTCTGATATTCCATATAATGACTTTAACCTTTGAAAACTGGCCTAAAACTTCAAGAAGATTGAATAAATTTGATATAAACAAGTTTTTTGTGGACCGGATCGGATTGGTCCTACCCCCATATAGCCCTCTTATAGAACATCACTTTATTGTTAATGAATCTTTTAAAAATCATCTTTTTATAAGAGGAATTCAACAAAACAGATTTGTTTTTAGAAATGTATCACTTTCTCGGTTTAGAATTGATCCAAGTCTTCATAGAAGGTCCATTTGTATTACAAATAATCCTGATATTCATATTAATATCGTTATATAACAAGGTTTTGATATTATTCGGCATAGTATTATTCGGGTTTAGTACTTATCTAATAGATTGATCTACAGAGAATCCGAATCTGACCATTGAATTTCTTCATCAAATCAAGTTTTCGAGATATCATATCCTTAATTAAGCTGTATTTGATGCGTTATAATAGCATGAGATCAATTTTTTAATAAATCTGTTATTTCATTTGAAAGTGTAATCTCTCGATTTTGAAATAAAGATCTTAACCGTATTATATCTTCTTCCTTCTTCGCGATATCTTAATCTAAAGCTTTAAACAGCCAATAATTTACAAAATATTGAGTTTTTGAACATTTTTAGTTGTTTCAAAGATACCTCGAAGAAGGTAACAGATTAGATTTTCAGATGACATAACAAAATATATACATAAAGTTGTATTTATGCTATTCTAACGTCTCAAATACGGGCAAAAAATGGGAGGTTTTCAAACTTTAGGTCACGATATCTCGGAAAACTTATGTCATGTAATCCGTGGCCAGCTTTGGCGCAGTCCAAATCGTTTGATATGTGAACTTTAGACTCTGGGGGTTTTCAACATGAGAGTTCTTTCCTAAAGGATATTCTGAATTACGTTTAATAGTTCTAATTTTTAAAGTCTTCAATAGAAAGTGACAGACTCCCTCTAAACGAAACAATTTTCTTAAATTAATAAAGTTTTATAAAACAAAAGTATTTCATTCGAACTTTTACCTTTAATAGATTCAGTTATGAAATTTTGCTGTAATAAGTAAACAATTATTAAACAAAATTTCCCTTTAAAAACAAATTTATGTAAATAATTAGCATAATATTAAAAATCATACGAATAAGATAAAAAAGAACAAAAAACCACAATATATATTTTTTAAAGCATGTGTTATTTAATTTAATGAAATTTTTATTAAATCTATGTTTTTAGTTAACAAGTTTCATAATTAAATTAAAGCATGCTACTCTAATAATATTGTTTTTAATTAAAACATGTTTTATTAAACTCTTTCTTTAATTAATAAATTAAATTAATAATAAAACTATAACTAATTTTTTTTTGTTTAGCTCATCAATTAAGCCATAAACAACAATCACCGGGCAGTCAAAATGGTAGAGCTTCCAATTTACGTGTGGTTATACCAGCGCCATCCATTGCTCAAAATATGTCCACCACAGATGAGCTGGCATATGGAGATGTAAGTTTTGTTTATATATATAGTATAACCAAGAGTTAAGTTATTAATTATTCCATTTTTTTTTTTTTTTCAAAAATAGCGTCACAATCAAACATCTTTAAATACTCCTGTGATGACATTACAAACACCCATACCAGCGCTTCAAGGTTATCCTTTTGTACCACAAGATTTCTCTATGAGTACGTCCGATGTCATGAGTCTGCCCTCGTGGAGTACGCATCAGGGTTTGGTACATCAATCGGGGTTAGTATTAAATTATTATTATTTACTTTGTCTCAGCATATATTTTAATTAAAGTGAATATTTTAGAATATCCCATTTATCGGTATCAAATAGTACACCACCACCTGCCACCTCTCCCGTCAATATTAAAGTCAAATCCGAGCCTCAATCTCCGCCGCGTGATCTCTCTGGTGGCCATCATCAGCAAAATAGCAATGGCTCTTCTCACACCAACACAAATGCTGCTAATGCCAATGGCAGTGGCGCCAATAATCACTCCAATTTGGGTTCTAATAATCTAAATAATTCTCTGTCTATTAGTACGCATGGTTTAGGTGTGGGCGGCGGCGGCGGTTCAGTGGGTGTTATAGCGGGTACTAGTCCTGGTGGTGCTGGTGGTGGAGCTGGTAGTGGCGGTGGTGGTGCTTCAAATTCTTCCTCGACTTCTAACGGTTCGGCCAATGATCAGGCCACCAATTTAAGTGTTTTAAATCATACCCAGCAACATTTGGTCATGGCTGGCTCAAGACCATCCTCAACGGGTCATTTAACACCGACGCCTGGTATGTATTTGTTATGTTTTAAAAACAATTTTTAACTTTAATTTGTTCTCTAACTTATTCTTTTACTAATATTTGGTTTTATAATTTTGTTTAATTTGAATTTTTATTAAAATTATAATAAAAGATAATTTTATGTTTGGAAAATGTTTATAGAATCACTTAAGGCATTTACATTAGATATTGTATAGTCTAGTCTATAGTCTAGTCTATAGTCTAGTCTATAGTCTAGTCTATAGTCTAGTCTATAGTCTAGTCTATAGTCTAGTCTATAGTCTAGTCTATAGTCTAGTCTATAGTCTAGTCTATAGTCTAGTCTATAGTCTAGTCTATAGTCTAGTCTATAGTCTAGTCTATAGTCTAGTCTATAGTCTAGTCTATAGTCTAGTCTATAGTCTAGTCTATAGTCTAGTCTATAGTCTAGTCTATAGTCTAGTCTATAGTCTAGTCTATAGTCTAGTCTATAGTCTAGTCTATAGTCTAGTCTATAGTCTAGTCTATAGTCTAGTCTATAGTCTAGTCTATAGTCTAGTCTATAGTCTAGTCTATAGTCTAGTCTATAGTCTAGTCTATAGTCTAGTCTATAGTCTAGTCTATAGTCTAGTCTATAGTCTAGTCTATAGTCTAGTCTATAGTCTAGTCTATAGTCTAGTCTATAGTCTAGTCTATAGTCTAGTCTAGTCTATAGTCTAGTCTATAGTCTAGTCTATAGTCTAGTCTATAGTCTAGT